GCAACTCTCTTCCATCCGCTGTACATAATGTACTTTGGGGAGGGGGGAAGGACGTTGGCTGGTAATACTAAATTTGCCATTTGTAGAATTAAATACTGACGTGAAACGTTAGAATTGTAAATAGGTAATAGATGTTTATTTTGAATAAACTTATTTATTTTGTTTCAATCGAACTAATTTACTTTGGTAACTAGAATGTTACGACGGGGAATGTTMTTTGGTAAGGTGGACGAGAACGAAAAGTTAGATTGCGGTCTGATTTCCTTCAAAAGTTAACTTTCAAAATCGTTATTCTAAGCTTATTGCTAGGTAAGTGCCAAAGTGTTTCAACAGTCATTCTGGGTCGTGGGTTCGAATCTCAGAGAGGTCGGATATCGGTCGGATATTAATATTTTCTAATATATTTTTCTCCCGGAATAACCTTCTAAGCACTATTCCTTTATTTCTATATCATTCTTAACATAGCTTACTCTTTGACAAGCTTATACATAACCTCGTTATCAGGCTGCACTTCAAGATTCTCGTTTCTAAATTAATGTATGGGCACTCTTAGGGTAACGGAGTTATGGTTCTTTGCTGGTGTGCAGTTGGTCCATTGTTCAGTTACAGTAGCATTTGTTAGACTTCCACTTGTAAATGGATTTCTTTTCGGTTGCTTTGATAACATCCACTTACTGATATCAAAGCGAGAGAGACCTGGGACAGAATTTTCTGAAATTAATTAAATAAAGAAATGAGAATCAGCACAAGAGTCAATATCGACGTTTAGCCGAGGCCAAAATAAAACAATAAAAATTCATTAAAATTAAATAATAAAATAGATTAATAATTGAAATTATTATGTACGAGATCCAGAATGTCACGTGATAAAGCAGCCCCAGTTCTGAGAACTCTAAAAATAGACCACTGCGTCACTACTGTGTTATACAAACGCTGTAATTCAAGCTCTCTTTTTTTGTTTTTGTTAATGATGATTTTTTTATTTTAAGACTTATTTAAGATTTTTTCAGATATTTGAGGTAAATAAGAAATTGTGATTGTTTGAAAGTTTTCAAATCTAATTTGCTTATGAGACAGAAGGAGTAGCTTACCTGCCGCTGCAAGTTCCTTGTTCAGTCATCCAAGCCCAGCATCTTGCGGAGATGAATTTATGTCTGTTGTGTCAACACTGTCATCTCTCTACGAACCTGATAAGGAGTGGCCGGAGTACTTTGAATCAAGACCGATACCGATTGTGCTATGATAGTACCTGCTATTCTCAAACGGATGTTCAAGTTTTCAAACTCTACGTACTTAGAGTGCTGAATTCGTCGAATTGGTGCTTACTAAAAGTTCAGCAACGTCAAGATGGGTTTTGGTAAAGTTGGAAAAGTTAACTTATACGTAGAATAATATTTGATTCGATTAAACATGAGTCAAGGTATAGTTGGATATTTTGTAAACTGGTTTTAGAAATGCTTTGTGGTGTTTAATATAAAGGCATGAGCAACGATCGACATCCTGTGATTGTCTAGAAAATATGAACTTCGTAAGTCTTTTTTTTTCCTCACCTGTTCTTTATCATAAACATTTTCAGATACACCTAATGTAGCACAAGCATTGCTTTATTGAAAAATTAAAAACATTTTAAAGCAAATCGAAATTTATGATCAAAACACGTAAAAAAAATTTGTTCAGCTTCAGAGACTTTCGTCTGCAGTTTAAATTATATTGTTTATAATGTTTATCATATTTTTTTTCAATAAACCCTTTTAGCGATCTGTTTTACGCTAGTGTTAGCTTCAAAACCGTGTAATACGCTGGCTTTTATTCACTAACAATCCGTGCAAATCCAAGAAATCCGTGAGTATAGAAGACAACGGAAATAGTTTGAAATCTCACGAGTTTTATCTAACTTTCTGAATATTTTGCACATCACGGCTAACACAGCGTGAAAGAGGTCGCGAAGCTCAACTGTTATATACGGCTTGTTTTGTTTTGTTTTGTTTTGTTTTGTTTTGTTTTGTTTTGTTTTGTTTTTTGTTTTGTTTTGTTTTGTTTTGTTTTGTTTTGTTTTGTTTTGTTCTGTTTTGTTTTGTTTTGTTTTGTTTTGTTTTTTGTTTTGTTTGCGGCTATTATAGGACATCATACATGTGTAATGTTTTGTAATCTATTGCAATTCAGCACTCACAGGTTTTTGTTGTGATAGCTAGAGTTTGCTGCTTTAAGCGTTCAGTATGCATGGTAAACCATTTTGTAATTTTATATGACTTCTAAAAATCAGGTCATCATTTATCTCTAGGTCCAGAGAATTATTATGTAAAAGATTTACACGAATTCACTGCAGCACTGGATGAATTTTCAAGATGCTTGGATCGACAATTCAAAATTATCAACAATTGGGAACACTTTGCCAAAACTCTAAATGTTCCCTCGGCCGTTATACGTACATGCAAACTGTACTCCGAGGATAGTCCAACAATAAGACTGTTTAGATACCTGGAGGTAACAAAGCCTGATATGACGTTGGTGATCTTCATGCTGCCCTATCAAAAAATCAACAAAGAGCCCGGCATGACTTGGCCAGATTGCTCGAAGGTAGCTCACAAACCAGTATAATTGGGAAAACCCTGCTGTACAAGGAAATGTGAGGAGGGGGAGGAGCTCCTTAGTTTTCATAAATCCCTGTTTTCCACTATTAAAAATAGCAGTTTCTCACTCCTATTCCAGGGCCGTAGCCAAAGCAGGGATATAATGCGTAAAAATTGTTTATATTTTAACTTAGATATGGACAATGAACGTAAGATATCAGAAGCTATCACCAATTCCACATCTGACATCATGGATAAGATTGCATTAAAGCTTGATTCTGCTTCAACACCAACATGTACTTGGATGGAATTTGGTCTTGAACTAGGGATAACCCGTGACAAACTTAAGGAATTTGAAATGTACACTAGCTACAATCCAACAGAAGCACTATTCAGATATGTTTACTCAGCAAGTGGAAAACAGATTAAAGCAAGTGTGATTATTGGTTACTTGGAACAGATGAATAGATGGGATATCCTTACAGAGGTTTTTCAAACAATGCGGCTGTTAACAGGTAATGTGTTTTACTCGAGATGTATAGAGCTGTTTATCTAGTTTCTAATATGGACAAAGCAAAAATGCGAGCATATGGTACTGCTTTTCGTTTGTTCCGAATGGCATAGGCTTAGACTGAGATAAAATATCAGCCAGCAGTAATTTAATGATCCTTGCCGAAACCTTCTAGGATTGTTTGATTCCTAAAACAAATGATTTTCCTGCCATTGCAGACATTGCCAAAGATGCCCAAGACATTTTCAAACTTGGTTCAGAACTTCTTGAAACAATTTCCAGGAAGTTAAATGAAGATTGTCCAGGTGTGGGAGGCTGGAGGGTACTTGCTAGACGTCTGATAGCTGACCATTACATTGATGACCCAGACATCATATCAGAGCTGGAGCCACCACATCAGCATGAAATTCACAGTTCAACAAAGAAAATCATTGAATGGCTTTCAGCCAATAAACCAGATGTCACCATTGGTGAATTAATTGCAAAATGTGGAGAAATTAATCGTAAAGATGCTGTGGAAATCCTGACACGATACTTTCCCAGGTCTGCTCATGGTAAGTGGAGCCGTCAGCCTAAATAATCCTGTTTGGCCATATCGGGTGAAATGTTGTTCAGTGAACTAGGGAAATATGATACATGTTATATGTATAAATCACTTATATTACAAATTCTAAAATAACCGGTTCTATAACTCACGCTTTCATTCGATAACTGAATTGGCCAAAAAACGTGCTTCTATGTAATATATAACACCCCCCCCCCCCCCGACACACACACCCTCCCCCTCCCCCCGACACACACACACACACACACTCCTGATAAATATTGCGCAGTCCCTACGTGTGATTATATTCGAAATACCAGGCAAAATGGCATATTTTTATTGACAAAACTTCTTCTCGGACGACATAAACCAAAGTCGATTTTCTGATTCCATGGTAAAAGCAGCCAATTTAATTTCGTATATTTTTGGTAGTTTGTCGACGGAGAATGCTGTGAGTGTATAAAAAAAAACTTTAAAATAATTCAATTTGGAGAAATTGTAACTACAACTTTTAGTTCATACATTTGTCTAATTTTTTTAAAAATTTTTCAATCTAAACTATATTGGTATAAACCACGGCTAAGCCTTATTTATTTGTTAAATTATCTTACATCTTTCGATGTAGCGCAAATTCTTCAAAATGACTGGAAAAACTTTGGTTTACCGCCTAAATCAACGACCAAAATGATTGGTCGAGAAAAGGACAAGGAGGATTTGATTGAAGAGATTGTAGATGGTAAAAATCCCCTTATTGTGCTTCATGCTGCTACAGGATATGGAAAGGAAACACTAGCAGTTGCAACAGCCTATGAACTCATTGAAAACCATGATTACACGTGCATATATGTGGATGTCGATCGTATCAAAGTTGATAATAGTGCCATTACTGTTGAAGAGCTCGCTTCCAAAATCTTGGAAACTTGTGGAATTCCATTTCCAACAATGGAAGACAAGAAAGAAGTGCAGGAGCTCTTCAAAAAAGTTACCAGAAAATGTCTTCTTATTTTAGATAACTTTGATCAAGCATTTTATGCTGAAAATAAGAGAATTGACAGTATGGACAACAGGTCATATATAAACAATTACAGATTGCCTAGAACATCATCCCACTCATCATCCCACGTCCCCGTCCCAATAATTTGCAGTACGTCAAGACCAGCTATGTCAAGATCAGGTAGTTCACACAGCGTTATGGTCTCTCGAGCTCAAAAATGGTCTCGCAGTACGTCAAGATCAGCTATATCAGGACCAGCTATGTCGCGATCAGGTAGTTCACACAGCGTCATGCTTTCTCGAGCTCAAAAATGGTCTCGCAGTACGTCAAGATCAGCTATATCAGGACCAGCTATGTCGCGATCAGGTAGTTCACCCAGCGTAATGGTCTCACGCGCTCCTAATAAACGGTCTTTTTTTGCTCTACTCAGATCAGTCAGTGTACAAAACCTTCCTGAAACATCCAACAACGGTTCACCAGTGGCAGTCGAGAGGAGATCACTCAGATCACTCAAAGAAAATAATGGCATTTACCACACTAGTTCTGTTAATGCCTTACCAGGCACTGACAGAAACACAAACCAAGCGACTTGGCCTGACGATGTCTTCCATGACACTGATATAAACCCAAACCAAGCGACTTGGCCTGACGATGTCTTCTCTGATACTGACAGAAACCCAAACCAGGAGATGACTAGAAAGGAGGAATTTCAAATGTTTATTGGGGATTTATTGAAATATTCCTCAAGGTTGAAAATCCTTGCCACAGCCTGGGAGTCGTTCTCTACATCGGTTGACACCAAAGTAGTTGAGTTGCCGCCACTGACGAAGTCCGATTCAGAAGAGATTGTTTTGAGTAGATGTGGAATGGATAGATCCATTATCACAAGTGATCTAATAAACCTTGTCCTAGAAGGCTGTAGCGGCATCCCACAACTTCTTCGTAACGCTGCAATGGTAAATGTCAGATTTGGATTTGAAGATTTAGCTTCAAGTCCACCTGAACGACAATTGAAATTGTTGTGTCCAAGCTACATGAGCCCAAAAGAGCGTTTCGATCATCGTCTTCGTGTTTGCTTTGATCGTCTTCACGACATTTCACGAAAGGTTCTCATGGTGGTTTCAGTGCTACCAGGCTTCTTCACACTTGACGAGGCTGCAACGATCTTCAAGGACGCAGAGAACATTTCTTCGAAAGAGGAACTTCAGGATGGGTTAACTGATTTGGTGAACTTCAGCTTCCTGTCTTACAACCAAGAGCGAAAGGGGTATTATTTACGTCCTGCCATGAGATCGTTTGCAATCTATGAAGCAACATTTCTATCGGTCATTTCCACAACTGATAGTGATCTGTATGAAAATGAATTGGGTCGTTCATACAAGGAAGGCATTTCGCGTTTTGTGCATTACACATTTCACATCACCTTCATGGAGATCGAAAATGATTTCTTCAGCATCCGCAGTGAAAATGCCGTACAGAGATACAGAGAACAAGAGGCGAATCTCAGAAAAATAGCAAACTGGTGCATTTCCAATACACTCGATAAAGACCAAGAAATGAAGCGCCTCAGGTACCACATCAACAATGTATTCGTTGATTGTTACTTGGTTACAGTCACGTTGGTGGAAGACCATTTATTAAAGACGATCCTGAGTATATTTTCACGTTTTTATCGTTGTGAGGATGGTGGATTTATAAACACAGAGAGCAAGAAGAAATATGTCGAACGTCTGACAATTGCCGGAGTTGCATGCATTTCGAGCTGTCACTGTGTACCCCAACCATGCCAGAAACGAAGGAAACAAGCAATGTTTTACTTCAATAAAGTTCTGGAGGAATTGTGCAGTAGTCCTCGGACTGTTTCCAGTTTGCATAAACAGCTCAAAAGCGTGTCCAAGTGCAAGATTATGTCCAGAGGAATTCAAATAGAATTCCTTCTTAAGTATGGAAAGTGCTTGATTTTGGAAGAAAGAAAGAAAGATGGATTGAAATTCATCGAAAAAGGGATTAAAATAAGCAAAAAAGTGTTCAAGAAGTCAAATTCTAACAAAGATCGCGTTATGGTGGCAGTTGGCTACAATGACCTTGCAAGTAAGTCCTACCCTTACTGTCCTACCCTGAGGGTTCATGTAGTTTTTAGTTAGGTTTCCAAATGACGATAAATCGTGGGAAATGATGGGTATTTCAGTATGGGTAATATGTCATCTTTTCACTTTCGAGTATTTGGACACAAAATTACAACCCAGAATTGAAAATACGTGTGCTAACCATCAGAACCATTTTTACTATCTTGGTGATATTGTAGGTGCCTACAGCTATAATAACGATGCGAATGTAACAGCCATTCAAATAAGGCAAAGCAAAGTCCTACCGGTTTATGAAGAGCATCTTGGTCGCCATCCATTCACAGCCAGTGCTCTCAGGAGTTTAGCCCATAACTTCCTAGCACTAGGTTCTTACGAAGAAGCCCTCGAAGTATGCCAAATAGCTCTGTCCCACAGAAAACAATTGTTTGGCGAACACTCTGAAACTGCTCGTTCTCTGTTTGATATGGGACAAATCTTACGAAAACAAGGTAAGAATATTAACAAAATTGGGATAATGGTTTTCACAATATTTTGTCCATTAAATTTCAGTTTGCTGAAGAAGGGCGAATGCCTGAAACGTTCAATAAAGAGTGGAAACCAAGTTACAAGTTGTGTGGCTCTTTCTTCAATATATTATATTCTATTTATAAATTTAGTTATACACCAAAGCTTTATTTATTTATGTATTTATCAGTATAATTCAGTATATGTTAAGTTTTGCCCAGTGACGCTGGGATATGCATACATAACGAACGGTTCACAAGGAAACTATGTTTTGCTCATGTATATTTTGTATGTTTGTTTATTGCAGCGAGTAATAGTCAAAATCCAGAAGATAAACACAAGAGGTATGAAGACGCCCTTTCGTGTCTGAATGATGCTCTGGAAATGCGTCAGCATCTGGCACCCACATCTGTAGAAACGACACAAAATCATCAAGAAATAGCTCACGTGTTGAATTCCTTAGGAAGAGATGAAGAGGCTAGAACGCACGAAGAAAAAGCAAGCGATTGTAGTAAGCACATTGACATTCAGTCGAACATTCCAATTTGTAAGCGTCTCGATATGTACGACTGATACTCTAAGCTTGGACACTTACTAAATCATTATAGCAATGACAAACTCAGGCAAAGAGACGAAAACTGCGCATGCCTTAACGACCTAGAGATACGAATTATATTATATCTTTTTTTTCTTAGACATTATGCCGAGCGTCTCAGGTTTTCGCTAGATTAATGCTTATAACATTCTCAGTGTATGTAATTAACTTTTGAACGTTGTGAAATGATGATTATAATCCATTCACCTCTAACATTATACTTGATGACACTGATGCAGTGATGTTTGCAAAAGAGGATTTGTATAGATTTTGCACTCCAATTATGTGATCGATGATTTTAATATAGGAAACAGAACATACTTTTTTAATTTAAAATTGAAACTAAATTTCGAAATGCAATGTCACCGAACAATCCGATCATAGGTAAAAGTCTTCTTCACAGCATCTCTGCGCCATCTTGAGAATTCGAGACGACCGGTGATCGATCTTGCAAGGGCTGGTCAGGGCCCAGGGTGTGGAGGAGACTGCTTTTGGGGCAATTTATACAACTAATTCCACTTGTAGAATAGAATGATGCCGTGAAACGGTTTAGGTAGATAATGCATCTTTATTTAAATAAACAAACAAACCAATTCGTATTCAATTAAATAGTGTCATGATTATACACCACTCAGTCAAGTGGGATAGACCGATTTTACAAGTTTTTACTAATAGTAAAATGGAAAAATCTTTAATTAAAGATAGTTTTTAGGAAATTCACGTACAATTGCTCGAGAAAACAGCGTCATAATAATTAAGCTATAAAAAATATATTCAAATACATTTATGCTCTACAAAACACTTCAGGTATTTTCTTAAAAATATAAAAATATTTTTTATATAAAAGCGATTTCTATTCCAATTATTTCAACCATGGAACAATAATGTCGTTTTCACTCTTAACATAAGTTTATTCCAAATATATTACAAATAGCCGAACATCCGCCATCTTCGATCACGAGAGATCCTGAGTACAAGTAACTTGCACGGTTAGAGGGGGGATCAATGTTATCCTCTGTGTTTAGGAAGTGGTATACCCTTTCTTTCCGATACCCAATCAGGAGCGATAATAAAATACCCACGATCCCTTGCGCTTGTATAATTAAAGAAGGAGTTCTCGTGAATGTAGTCGTAGTCCTCGTACGCTGGGTAACCGTAGGTAGGGCTGAAGCGAGGACGTAATAGATGCCTCAGAGTTGCTTCACCGAGCTGCGAATCGTGTCTGTTGAAAAGCAAATTAACATGTCAACACAGAAATCGGTCCTCATCCACACATTAAACATCAAATCGGCGAACAAGATAKAAAAGCTATTGCATCTACTACTTCTTCCAACGACTTCAACCAWGGGCACCCAAACCAAGTTTCCACAYAAAATTTCCAGCTTTCTCCCAAGCTGCAATAGATTTACTTCGATTATTTTGTATTCTAAACTCTACCTTAAGTAATTTGAACTCGCTAGAAAGCGAGGAAGGATAGAATATAAATGAAAAAAGTTCATTGGGTGTCCTCGGTTCAAGTAGATACACTGTAAGTCACTCGGGAAGGTAAATTCCTACCTATTCAAATACTCCAACAACTGTTTAACCCTCAAATAGTCACAAAACTCGCATTTTCCTTCGGTATGGTGGRCGTGATTGCCATGACTGCTTTCTTTGACSGGGYTCTCCACCACCGCGTCATCATGCTGCACTTCAAGATTCTCGTTTCTAAATGAATGGACAGTCCTAGGACGAGGGGGTAGATCAAGCTTGTCCGTGATCCTTTGCGAGTGTGCACTTTTGGCCCGTTGTTGTTTATAGAAGACTTCGTTAGTAAACTTCTGCTTGGATGGCTGAGGTGTTTTGGGTCTAGTGGCTGAGGGTTGAGCTGTCTTTGGTCTTACTGTGGTAACTGRTTGTACAAGGGGATCCTTCGTGGTTGCTTTGGCAACATGATCCATGAAGTTACAAACGACTGCTTTTTCTACGAAACAAACAAAAAAGGTTTGAATAGTCTTTCAATGTTCGCAATAGTTTACTTAGTCAATTCTTTATTACCATATTCATTGGATTTATTCAGCCATTTTTTCATTCCTGGTAAAACTCGGGTTGTTGTCTTCTTACTTTCCTGTAATCAAGAATGATGACAATGAACATCACCGTATGGTTTGTTGATCCATAAAGATAGTCCCCAACACAAACCATAAACCACGTTCTTAATTGGAAGAAATTTAATTGTAAAAGCACGACAAGAACTTGAGCAAGTATTTGATCCTTTTTGCTTATGGCAAAGATTGAATGTCCAAAACGTTTTCAAAGTAGTGTTCATCGTATGTGTAATGCTCACATGGAAACCAGGGGGGACTGACCAGGGTAGGGGGGGCATCGCGGATGAATGATGGAACTGATATCAATGACAGTTGAGAATGATGAAAACGATGATATCTTGACGATGGTGGGGGTCATAACAAGTAAGCAGTCCGATAAACAAATATAATCTGACAAACTTACACCAGTTCGTGGAGGTCTWGGTACAATATCGACCTTCTTTCCCGCCAGACCGTACATTCGCTCTGAAAAGAAAGATAGGAAATGTGGGAAAACGCGCTCCAAGCAGAAGTGAAGAAGGTAAGCAGATATAGGTTATTATATGCATTGAACACTCTCTGAAAAGAAAGTGATAATACCTTTCATCCTTTTCAGCATCTGTAATACGGACCGACGCCTTTAAAATAGAGGCTACGTTCGTATAATGAAATGGGTTTCAAAGGGTTTGCGCATGGTCTATTTATCATTACCTCTGTCACGATTTACCGCAGATGTTTCATTCTTCCAAGCTTGGCGCGCTAAGTCTAGACTRGGTCCTATGTACTCCGATAAGATTTCTCTATAAATCTCTTTATCTGCAGTAAGAAAAGAATAAACATGTAATTGAGTCATTGGATACACTTTATAGAAAGGCGTAATTTATTCAAAAGTTATTCGTAAAAAMTCATGCACGCAAATAAAAGACTTTGCGTTTCGATTGCGAATGCTGTAGTTAACATTGCTTTTGTTGTTGTTTATTCAGCTCTAASTGCTACTGTGACATACATTAAAATGTTAACGTTTCCATAGTAACAGTTTCCATGAGAGCAGCGAATTGTTTGGGGGAAATGAAAAAAAAAAAAAGAAGAAAAAGAGTGATGTGATGGGTGAATTTGAAGCAGTATTTCAGCTTCTTGTTGTTGCAACCATAAATTTATCTGTAACCATTAACTGTTGCATTTGTCAAAGGAAAAACTGTTTCATTAAAATTCTCAAAAGGTTGTTTACTGGCAACTGAGACACTTGAGCAAAAAAGTAAATATTTGATTTAGTTTTTCTGACTGCACACCTTTTTGCTAATAACATAAAAAATACATCCAAAGGAAAAAATATACTTTCTCAYTGAAAATGCCYTGCAGTAAAACGAAGCATTTTGTTTAATTTATTCCATTTTTTTCTTTTTAGTGAAGAGACAACTCTGCCAATTATGGTAATTTTTTTCTTAAAGAGAATTAAAAGTCTCTCGCAAACAGCGCATATTATTGAATTAATTGATATGTACTATCGTATGTTTTTTAGCGGATAACAAAAGCTGTCGGAAAATAAGAAAGTTTTACTATTAATATCAATACAATACAAATATATTTAGTTACCAATTTAGCTAAAGAAATACCTTTGGAGTTCGAAGATTCCGGAGTTTTTGGGATGCTRCGKACAGTTCTACCAGTTTTTGCTGCTAATGTTTTATCATATTCCTCTTTAAAGTTCATATAGCTTCCTGTCTGACTTTCTCTCAAAGAACTTCTGCTCGGTTCCTAAGATAACACAATAATTCGGTGACGAGTTTTAATTGTGCAACAGCTGATGCTTCGATACTTCTGTAACTTTAGTAATCTACGCATGGAGTGAATAATTGTAAATAATTTCACACTAACTTACCTTGGGTAACCGTGGATGATGAAAGTTTTTTGTTCCTCTGGCTGCTTTTTGAAGATGTATTTGAAAGCCGGGTCGTTTGCTCGAGTAGTCYGTTTGGTAAATTGACTTCCCATTTGTYGCAGCACAGGGCACGAGATTCGGCGGCAATTCGACCCACTGTGGCATCTTTYAAAACCCTGAGAAACTTCCCAAGCGTTTAAATAACAAGTRTGTAATCCAATTTGTTTAAAGTTACAATAATTTTTCCTTTCAGAGATAAAAAGTTAAAATTACACTAGAGTTGCTTGCTGTAAACGAAAGAGTCGTCAGGGCAATGTGTCTGGAGTGATTCTATTGGCTAATCAAACAATAAGTGACAGGTCTTAAATGATTAACTTTTGAATGGCTTTGTGCTAAAAGTCACTTTACGAAGTCAGGCACGCTTTGTTCTGGCGTGAAACTTAATTTTATACAGAATTGTTTTGTGTTAGGCGAGGTAACCGAAATTTCTTTCGACGAGAGATTCTTCAGGAATATTAAAACAGTATTCTAGCTCCGGTGCGCTAACTTAATGTGCGTGACCAACTGCGTGACATTTCATGAACTGTGATAAGACAACAAAATGGTTTCCAGTAAAACATCAGGAGAGAATCTTGCGTTTTCTACTTACTATTCTTCTATAAACGCATGTTATTTTAACTTAATATTATCATTTTTTCTAATAAGCAGGCATAAAGCTCTTGAAAAGCAGAGGAAAATTGGATGGAAGACTTCTATTCAAGAAAATTCATGCTTTAACTGTCCAATATCTGTCAAACTGCTGTTCTGAGCATTAAGGAGAAGAGGTAGGGTGAAATAAAGGTTGAAGACAAGGACAAACTGCTGCAAAACTAGTTTCAGAGATTCAGTTATATTCTAAGACAAATCAGTTTTAAAACTGATGTACATGAAAATTCAATCCTTGGAGAAATATTGTATTCCTTGAAATCAAGAAAAAGTAGTCAGTAAACAGCAAAAGACAACAATGTCTCCACTCTGATTGGTGGAGAGTTGACCACATGACCTGATACTGTCCACCACAGAGGGGTATTATCCAGTGCATAGAGCCGTTGGCCCGACACAATTTTGTTAAAATCTCGGCCATTATGCTGTGATAGTTGCCATGAAACTGGACAATCCTCAAAACTTCACAGTTACCCTCAACTGATTTTTTTGACAACTATTTGCTTTTGGAACAGCTTTCTGACAGCAAGTATCACAGAATAATCCTCTCCATTCAGCTACTATACTGCTAAATACACAAGAGAAGGGTAGTCAGTCCTCTCGGATAACGACGTAAAATCGGAGGTCCTGTCTCTCTACACTTCACTCACTAACCTGTATTAGAGGGACGTTAAAGAACCCACACCACTGTTCGCATAAGAGTAGGGAATGATTTCCGGTGTGTGTGGCTAGGCCTTACTACTAACCCATACTAATTACTAACCCCTCATGATTGTAAGCCACATGGCTGCCAATTGCGCCTTAAACAGCGGTCCTTGTGAAATGATCTATACATGTGAAGCGCCTGTGAACTCAGGGGATATCGGCGCTATATAAATACCACATATAGTCAATGTAAAGACCACAATCCTGACATTCTACACATTATATCCAATATCTTTATTGTCTTTGCAATGCAACATTCATTAAGATTGTATGGCATTGTGCATGCAAATCAGGCATTACAATCAGCATTTCAATAATGCATCCTGAGATCAACACCCTATTGAATCCTGGGACTGTTTGGAGGTTTTAACAAACCATGAAGTATAGACAACACTACTTCATGGTTTTAGTGAACCTCCTCCGAACACTGTAAACTATACAGAGTTTAAGTTGACTAAAACCATTTAGTAAAAGACCTTATTATGAAAACACTGAACATGTCTTAATGGTGTTCATGTTAATTTTAAGTTGAAAGAAGTTACTCTCGCAATCCCACGACTCAAAAGGTGTAATAATTTCAGAAAAGTTAATCATTCAATGAAATATTTACAAAAACTATGTTAATCTCCTTAATGAACACCTCACACTACACTAAGTTATAAAAACATGTCAACATCCAGAATTACCCCAATCAAAACAGTTTATTAACTGTTACAATACCACCAATATTTCCAAAACAATACCAAGTCAATAGTCATTTGCTGTGGGAGCTTACTTTGATCATTTCCATGAGCTGCATATCTTCAAATACAGAATGCTTGCACATCATGTGAATGCAGCTTCATGTAGGAGACAAAACAACTATAACTGTAACTCTCAAGAGAGTAAGACTACCTTTAAACAAGCTGGCAAGCCCAATTTAGAACCATTCAAGTTTGTAGTTGGTTTGGCAATTGCACTGGGATAGACTAATGAATGTTCTATCTAAACAATGACGTGACTCCAAATTTGACCAGTCTCTTGTAAAAYATATTTTGTCACCTAGAAGAAGCTACTGTAACTAGTTGCGCAGGTAAATCTATATCTCGTTTAACCAAGCCATGGTCAAATAGATGGCTGTATAGTATGGCTATGGAGGAGATTTTTTATGCTTTTTCATGAAACTAGCCTTTGATTTGAAAGCCATAAAAAAGTGGCATGCTTCCATAACTTTAATAACTTAAAGAAAGGTTAAAAAGATACTTATTATGTAGCATTTATGAGAAAAAGAATATGCCTTTTGTTGCCACGCAAATACAGAAATGCACTAGCTAGATGATAGTGCAGCATGTTATGTCGTAATATAGGAAAAATTGCTTAATATCTTTAAAACATAYGGCGCATGGTCCAAGAAAACAACTTTGATCAATCTCTATATTCTCCTGTAGAAGTCAAGGAAATAAATGAGAATTTCTTCCTTGATCAATATTGTGTGGATAATAGTTGCTGTTTACCATGACAAATCCTAGCAGAGCTCATGAAGAAATCTGGGCTGGATTGTTCAAAGCCTAATTAGCATTAATTCAGGGTTAACTCCATGGCTTTTTTTAAAGATTGAACTCAGGTTTTGTGCTAATCGAGCTTTGAACAACCCAGCTATGGCCTTGGGTTAATCCTTCCTCTTGTATTTCACAAACATTTACTAATTTTAATTTTTGAAAAAAGTATTTCAGAGTTTGTAGTTATTACTTGAGATGGTTATCAAATGACTTGTACAGACATGAACCAGCCTGGCTAGTGTATACAAAATAGGTTCATGTGATTACATGGCATTAGCATCTGGTTGAAATGTAGATACATAGCTAGCAAAGTCCACTGTTTGCTCCTCTGCTTTCTTGATAAAAGGATGGTTCTGGAAATGAGAGGGAAAATAAATTATTGTGAGGCATTAAAACAGTGAGCTGACTATAAATTTATATGAGAAAAAATGCGATTTTCAAAGGATTTTTAATAAAATTGAAGACAGTAAACTTCAATGAAAACAACTGTGTACGCAAACATTTCCAGCCGTGTTGACAAGGATTTATTAATAAGGTCACAGTTTGGTTAAAAAAAGGTTTGGGCAATTATGTGCGGTGTCAAAACTAGAATTGTACAAGAATTAATTTGTTGAGTTTGCAGTGAATAAAGACCATTGTTTCTGTACATATTGTGGTATTTTGTACTTAACTCTAGTCACTTACCATAAGATATTTAAGATCTGCTCTTTCTGAAGGATTTTTTACAAGACTAGAGAAGACAAAACAAACAAAGACAAAAAAATATTATTACAATAAGCGGTTACATGTATATTAATTATTAATATGACTAAATTCAAGCACAAGTACATGTTTACTGTTGCTATTAGAACTTTTTGTGGTTAATTAATGGCTTATCATATAGGTGTTACATACCATTTGTGAACAAATTCACAGAATTCTTTAGAAAAGCAAGATTCAGGAAGTTTTGGTGGAGCCTAAAATGAAAGGTAAACAAAATAACTAAAAAGGTCTAAAACAACAAACTCCTTATATACATGTATGTGGATTCACAATTATAATAACAATTTTCACAATTTGATGATGCCAACTGTTGTAAATATGAGAACATACCACTAGAAACTATCATAAATTTGTTAAATATTTTACCTCATTCACAATATAATCCAACAACTCAAATATAGCCATGGGTCGTGCCGACATACCATCGTTATACCCACTGGGAGGACGTACCCCTGGTGGTAAATTTAGTGAGGACATATGGGAAGATGCTAAGGTACGTGGATCCATGCCAATTATCTTTTCTATTTCTTTSATGTCTGGTGGCGGGATGGGATATTTTCCTAACACCATTTCAACTAGTGACAATCCAAAGCTCCATATGTCTGATTGCACTGTATATTGCGAGCCTTGGAGTCGCTCCGGCTGTAACAGAACATGACATAATAATGACATTTTTGTTGACTTTCATGTTAAGTAAATAGAGAGAAATAGAGTGCATACACTACAGAGAGGAAGCATTACATTTGTGAAGTTATTAAAAASTTTGTTGATTAGRCAATGGAAAACAAGCATAATCWTAAATGCTTCATTATTAAGCACTATTGTAATAGCTATGTATATCAGAGGTAWTATCTATCTGTGAAGTAAAAGTCAACAGTTTTTATCTAAAGTTATAATCAGTAGCTATTGAAGACAAGTAAATTAGATTAAACATGGTTTTCTTTCAGGTGTCTTTGCAATTATTGCACAATAACTGATCTTATTGAAGAATAGCGATTATATAAATAGCAAAATATAAACCTCTGYCAATAACAGTTTTGTTTTTATTTCCCAGCTTGAGCTCCCACTCTAAATCTGTTAACTGGCAAATGCAAACTAGTTACATACCGACATATAGGACCTTGTGCCCACAAATGAATTAGCCATTGAATCAATAAGCTGRCCACTGACACCAAAGTCACACAGCTTTATTTCTCCTCTGGTATTGACCAGGATATTGGATGGTTTTACATCTCTGTGAATAATTTGATGGCTCTCACGCAAATAACTTAACCCCTTTAAGACCTGCAGATAAAGAGTAACTCTTAATCTTATCTGACAGACAGGTAATTCAATTATATAGTATATTGACAACTAAATTTTCCTTGGTCTGTGATTTCATTGACTTTAAACTTTCAGTACAGTGATAAGATAAACATTAGAGCATTCAACTCAAACTAGAGTCATGTTCAGAG